GACCCGAACTCGATCTTTTGCCAATTTCTTGACCCGCACCCGTCCGCCTACCTACATCGAAACCGCCCAAAGCACTGCGGGTAGGGTACGGTCGGGCAGTTTGTGCGGGCGGGTGGGTTTGTTGCCCAGCCCTATTCCCAAACACCTCCTTTATAACATAATCATGACAGTCATTTTAGGGTAAAACTTTCACTTTTCTAATTTTCAACCCAAATATCATTTTCAACCATTTTGACCCAACATCATTTTATTTTCACAACCCACATTCATGTATCTCATGTTCATCAACAATCTCTCTTTCCATATTATACCCAAACCCTAGGTTTGCTTATAACACTCTCAAATCACATAATTATTATACAAAATACGCATAACTAAGATAAATAACATATGAAGATGTAGAAAAGATACCTACCTCAGAGGAAGAAGATGAGCCAAATGAGAGAGAAACTCCAAGAATGCCGAAACCCACTTCTATTTGGATCAAAATGTAGATCTTGAGATGCTCTATATTTTTCTCAAAGGTATTAGGGTGAAAAGATCAATGGATTTAGATAAAATCTAAGAGAGAATGTCGATTCTAGAGAGAGACGCTTAAGAACAAACTTTTTGGAAGGTTTTAGAGAGAGAGAGAGATATATGAAAAAGTGAATCAAAATATCGTCTTCTCGGACTGTTATACGCGTAGTCCACTCAAGCGTGAAAAGCCACACTCGAGCGTCAGACACAAAGTTCCGCTCGAGCGAAGGAGCAAAATTTGTGAAGCCCGTTCGAGCACAAGAATGCCAGCTCGAGCGGAGAACCCAAAATCTGGGCAATAAAAGTTTGGAAAAACAAGCAACTAACTTGTCCTAAACACACAACTATAACCCAATAACCAAAATAAAAGGGAAGACAAGGGAAAGAAATATGAATAACTATTCAAAACCATACCAACCCAAGTTCGAAATACCATAAGTAACGGGTCAAAACCCGGAATCGCTATAACATGTTGTGCCTTCTTTTATTTATTTTGAATCCTTCAATGGCTTACTCTCTGTTTTACCCGTTTTGTACATTTAATTAAGGTGTGAATTGTTTTTTTAATGTAATGTAAATAGAAATTAGGGTTTCTTAAGTTAGAGATTGTCATTTCTTTTTGGTAATGAGGGTATACTAAGGCCTCGTTTGGGAAGGGCCGGTTTAGCCAAAAAGCCAAAAAGTTACTAAAAAGGTCAAAAAGCCAACAACTCATACCAAAAAGTCAAATATTCTCTTTTCTCTCTAATTTTTGCACATCTTTTCGTAAAAAGTCAAAAATTCATCCCAAGCACAAGTTTTTTTTAGCTCATATTTTAGTCAGATAGCTAAAAAGTTACTAAATTAGCCTGTTCCCAAACAGGGCCTAAGTGACCCCCCCAAGGGGGTCAGATGCTTCATGTGTTCTGTTTTGTTGATATCAATATGTAATTATAGATAGAGAAAAAAGGAGAGAGAGAAAGAGAGTTTGTCAATGGATCACAATGTTTTATTGATTTTGCAATGAAAATTTAAAGAGAAACAGATTGTAATGATAGAAGAGATGATTTTAAGGAGAGTTTTCTTTTTCAATGACTCACTGTTTGATTGATTTTGAAGGGTATACATTAGGAAATGACAGTTTCAAAATAGAGAGAAAAATGTTGGGGAATGGGAGAGAGAGAGACCTCTGGAATTGTGTTCTGTTTTGATTTATTTCAATTTTTTGTATCTCAGGGTTGGTTATTATCTTGGGTCTGGTTAGAGGTGAGCTGAAAGACCTCTAGAACTATGGCACGGAATCACCATACCAATATAGGGAATCTTTTGTGGAAGCTTGATGAATCAGATTGTTGCATCTGTCAAGCCTAGAAGCAAATCAACATTGTTTTGGAAATGCCATCGGTAAAGGGAAAAAAAAGGTTTGGCTTGGTATTAAAGGTCTTATTTCAGTGCAGTTGAAATGGGTGGATAAGGCAGTTCACAATCTGTATTATATTTGTATTTTTAGCTAATAATGCTTTATTTTTTGTTGTTTATAATTTTATTTTATTTTTTTAATTTCATTTTGGTTTCAAATTTTTGTTGAAGACACACTATAAACTCTCAATCCACATATACAGGTATGTGTTTGGATCATCACCAATCCCTCAATTATTATTACTTTCTTTCACTTTTCTTCATTTTCTAGCTGAATTTGTAGATCCGTGAACATGAAATTTGTGTGTTTGATTGTTAGGGTTTTTGAGGGTTTTTTTTGGGGAATTTGTGTTGCAGATAAGGGTGTTCGCGGATTGGATTTGTGCGGTTTGCAATTTAATTTTGACCCGCCCGCATTTATGCTGTTTGGGAAAAAATCAAATCGCAACCGCCCACAATGTGGTTTGAGGTTTGTGCGGATAGGGTTTACGAATGTGCGGGCGGTTTGCGGTTTGAATTTTTTTAAAAAAAAATTAACATAGATATTGTTTAATTTTAACTTCACACACACTGAGACTGCCTCAGATTGAATGGAATTGTCACTTATGTCACCCATCAGTTTAACATCCATGACTTGCACAGTTTATATTTTGTAATATGAGAGCATTGTGTTGATCAAACATAAAAATCAATTCAAAAAAAAGGTACTCTTTTTTTTTTTTTTTGGATAAATAAGTTTTTAAAAAAATTACTTTGAATCATTTAAATCATTAACCAAAGTGCAACTTAGGTAAGAATATAAGTCAATTAAGTCAAACAAATACAGAACATATAATGGAAGTTGTAAATTCTTCCCAGTAAATGAACGGCCAGGTTTTTCCAAAATATATATATATATATATATAGTGCGGGCGGTTGTGGCGGGTTGCGGGTCAAGGGACCCGTAACCCGCCCGCAAACGGCAAAATTGAATTATTTCAAACCGCACCCTATTTTATTGTATTTGCGAAACTGCCCATACGTGTGCGGGTAGGGTCAGGTAGGACAGATTGTGCAGGTCAGATAACCCTATGCCCAGCCCTAGTTGCAGATATGTGAATTTTGAGAAGTTCTGCAAATTGAGGGTAATGCAAACCAAGTACATGGAGAGGACGAACTCTATGAGTAAAGGGAAGCGGAATTTGGAGGGCGATGATGATGAGCAACTAGAGCTAAAGCAACCGACTTTAGTTAGGTAAATTCAAGTTTTGTTCAGTCGGTTGTGTTGATTTGGTGTTGTTTTGTTGTGTTTTCTTTGTTAATTTTTGCTGATTGATTAGTTGGGTAGTGGAAACTGTAGTTGTTTTACATGTATGGTAATTATGTTAATACTTGATTGTATTGCCTCGGTGGAATGCAATTATTATGATTCTGTGATATGCTTAATGATGTTGACTGTCTTTCTCTAATTGCAATCTTGAATTAAATTTTTTTATAGCTTTGTTGCAATTATTGGTAAGAAGAATAAGAGAGTTTCAGAAAGTTTGAGAGAGGTAGTAATGAGGAGAAGAATGAGAGAAATGTTTATTTACACTATGTCTTTAGGTACGAGCATATACTAGTTTATCAATAAATCTTATCTCATAAACAAGTATTTCAATTAGTTTTAATTTTTTTGAGTAAATTACAAATATACTCTCTAAGATTTGATTAAAATACGAATCTCTTCTTGTGGTTTTGAAAATTACATTTCACCCTTGAGGTTTCTAAATTCGTAACAAATCGCCCATTTTATTAATAAATCATCAAGTTAATTAACTATTTTTAATGATGTTAAAAATATGTTTCAATTAATAATTTAGGTAATTTTATTATTATTTAGGAGAGCAATTATGAATTTCATTTTTTTAGTTAATTCTGTTAAATAAAAAAATCTAATAAGGGTGTATTTGTAATTTTTCAAACCACATGAGGCAATTTGTATTTTAAGCAAATCTCAGGAGGGTGTATTTGTAATTTACCCATATTTTTTCTATTGACCTGTTAAGTCTTCTTAGTGGAGAATTTCATTCTGTGTAGTTATATTTTTAATTTTGGTAGTGTTTTGATAGACGGTTATACCTTTTATTAGTATGACATGTATGATATCACATTCCACTCCAATGTGACAGGTATTAATATGACATTCCAACATAACAAGTATGATGCAACACTCTAAAAAAATTAAAAATTCCTTATTGTATTTTTTCTAAATGGATAACATGGTGAGTATGATGTAACATTCTAAAAAAACTAAAAAAAAATTAGTATACTTTTCCAAATGCAACATGTGACACTCCGACGTTACGGATATGATGTGACACTCTAAAAAAATTAAAATTTCCTTAGTATACTTTTCCTAAATGTGATGACGTGTCAGTATGATGTGACAACTAAAAACTCTTTAATATACTTTTTCTAAATGTGAGAAACATGGCGGATATAGTGTGCCATTCCAAAAAAACTACATGTGATACACCAAAAAAACTAAAAACTCCTTAGTATACTTTTTTCAAATGTGATAACGTGGCGGATATAATGTGACACTCCAAAAAAATTAAAAACTCATTAGTGTATTTTTTTCAAATGTAACATTCCAACGTGATGGGTATGATGTGACACTAAAAAAAATTTAGTATATTTTTTTCTAAATATGACACTCCATTGTGGCGGATAAATGAGTCATTACACATTCAAAATGACTAAATGAGTCACAAGAAAAAATATAAGACTATATAAATTACAAATTCAAAATATGAGACTTATTGATAAATGTATCTAAAATTTATAAATATTAATAATTAAATTGTAAATATTTTTTCAAAACTAGCTGATGTGTAGTTTGTCCGAAAGTGCGAAAATTTTGTTGAGTGTCAAACATTTGAGTAATGCTAGAGACCCTAAATATTCTATCAAAAGTCTCTAAATATTCTATTAAAAGTTTTACCAAATGTCTCACAGATGTAAGACCCCCACAATATGGATCCCATATAGATCCCACACCCATGTAAGACATTTACTAAAACTTTTGATAGAATTTTTGGGATCTCTAGCATTTTTCAAACATTTTCCGTTTCAACCTACTTTCTTGGATTTTTGTAGTAGTATAGTTGAAGAAAATTGGTGTACGTCGCTGATCAGATTTTGCCGCGCGATTGACTGCGGGGAAATCAAACCCCAACACTGGCAAACGACTTGCGTCTATGGCTAACCCAACCCAACCCAATGTTCCTCCCAAGAACACCCTCATTCAGAAATCTCTGTATCCATCATCCACTTCTCTCCTACGCAACTTTTCCTCACCCAGACCCACCACCACCGTCGTCGTCGAACCCTCCACGCCTCTCTCTCCTCGCCGACAAATGCACATCAATGCACCAACTCAAACAAATCCACGCCCAAATGGTCGTCTCATCCCGCATTCACGACAACTTCGCCGCAAGCCGATTACTTTCCTTTTGCGCTCTTTCGGACACTGGTGATCTCAATTACGCTCTCAAGCTCTTTCACTATACCCACGAACCCAATTCTTTTATGTGGAACACTCTCATTAGAGCTCATGCTAGTAGCTTAAATCCTCGCGAAGCTGTGTTTCTTTACATAAAGATGCGAAGGCTTGGTGTTATTCCGGGTAAGCACACCTTCCCTTTTCTTCTCAAGGCGTGTTCTGGTTTGCTGTCGCTTGAAACTTGTAAACAAGTGCATTCCCATGTTTTGAAATTTGGGTTGGACTTGGATTTGCATGTTGTTAATGGGTTGGTCAGGGGTTACTCTGTTTCGAGCGATTTGAATTGTGCCCGCCAAGTGTTTGAAGAAGCTCCGGAGAGAAATTTGAGTATTTGGACGACAATGGTATGCGGGTATGCGCAAAACTTTTGTGCCAATGAGGCATTGGAGTTGTTTGGTCAAATGATTGCTGATGGGTTTGAACCCAATGGGGTAACTTTGGCTTCTGTGTTGTCAGCTTGTGCTCGGTCGGGATGTTTGGATATGGGTGAAAGGATTCATGTGTTTATGGAAGAGAAAGGGATTGATGTGGGAGTCATTCTCGGCACAGCATTGGTTCACATGTATGCGAAGAATGGAGCAATTTTCATGGCTAGAAAGTGTTTCAAGAGCATGGTTGAGAGGAACATTGCAACGTGGAATGCAATGATTTGTGGATTGGCCGCCCATGGACATGCGGAAGAAGCACTTGATCTATTTCAGAAGCTAGAGAGAGACCAGGTTGTGCCAAATGATATCTCATTTGTTGGGGTTTTGTCTGCTTGTTGCCATGCTGGCTTGATTGATCTTGGTCGTGAAATCTTTTATTCCATGAAAGGGGTGTATGGAATTGAGCCCAAGATAGAGCACTATGGCTGTATGGTTGATCTTCTTGGGCGATGTGGGAGGCTACTAGAGGCTGAGGAGCTAATTAAAGTAATGGTGTGGAAAGCTGACATAGTGATTTGGGGAGCTCTGTTGGCAGCTTGTAAGAACCATGGTGATATTGATGTTGCAGAACGGGTGGTGAAAGAAATTATTGATTTGGAACCTCATAATCACGGGGTTTATGTTGTTTTGTCTAACATGTATGCAGAGGCTGGACGATGGGAGGATGTTTCAAGGTTGAGGAAGGTGATGAAAGAAGTTAAGTTGAAGAAAACACCCGGATGGAGCCTTGTGGATGGTGATACTTAATCTTGTTTATATGCATACCACATAAGACCCATTTGAACAATTAACAGTCCTAACGAAAGAATAGTTGAATACAAACGATGATGAAGAGGTGGTCTGGACTCTAATTTATTGAAAGTGGAAACATGATTTGTTATTCCATTCTAATTTTGCCTACATAGAAGTCAAATTTTTTGCTGAAAGTTTGCATTTGCAAGTTTGCATGAACTATTTGTTGGAATCACCAGTTATGCCAAAGTTCTTGGATTCTGTAATTCGTTTACCTGATTTTCTGTGATGGTGGTAGATGAAAGGTGTATACCATTGATAACTTACCTTGGCATGTTTGGTCTTCTACATTTGCCCGAGATGGAAACTTGGAAAAGCTGAGAACTGCTGGAATGGGTCAATATTTGTTTGTGAACACTAAATTATCTTCAAGAAATGCTTCTTTGATTCATAACAGGGAAAGCACTATATCAGATAATTTGTTAGTCTCACTACTGGCAAGCTTTCGACAAGATAAAACCAACTTATACAAAAAGATGGTGGTTTCTTCATTTCAGTTTCTTCTTTCTCATGTGAAATGTTTTGCAAAAGTGTTTTGAGATCTGAAGTTTTGAGACATGTAAATCATGTGTTAACTGTTGTAATGAACTTAAAAAATCAACACGTAGTTATCTGATCAATTGTGAGAGTTGAAGTGGTTCAATATTGCAACTCGGTGGTTCCTTCATGATTGGCATGGAATTGGTGTTGAAAGTGTCTTGTATCTGCATTTGGCAAGTGTTGTTTTCAGTGGTTCGTGATTGCATGGGGTTGGTGTTGAAAATGTGCTATATAATTGTTTTCTTTTCTCCCTTTTCTTTGCTTATGTTTTCCATTTTTATTGGCATAGTGTATCTAGACGGTATAGAATCAAGGAAAAGCTTGATCAGGTTATGCTACTATATTAGTAAAATAGATTTCCACTGATGAAACTTCTTATGTTTTCACCCCCGTGTTTTTAAAACATGTCCTGCTTCTAACCCATGACAAGTGTTGCAAAACATTGAAGCATGAAATAATCAAATAAATAATTTTCTTTCTCACTGTTTTTCCTTTGCACATCAAATATTGGATGATTTGATTTGTCGCTTCTCTAAGATCTCTTCTTTGATAGCTTGGCCTTTTTCATACAACTTTTTAATGAATATCCAACCAAAGTGAATCCCAATTGTCAAGAGGTTTCAGCCTTGGCTGTACCAAGATTCAATTCAACTCCTGAATTTTAAATATAATTTTTTTATCCTTGGTTTTGAATTTAAAAAGAAAATAAGTGATTCAAGCTTTTAGAAGTTGTTTGAAGAACAACTTCAATTATGCTGCAACCTGCAAGAAATTCACCCTGGGTTTCATGTAGGTTGGACGTTGGACCAACCTACTTTTAACTTGCCCACTTTTTTTTAGATAGGATAACAAGCAGGAAAGCAAAACAAACATCAAGCAAAGAAGGACAAACGGCGACACCGAAGACGGAAACTCTTCCATCCAACTTCGCATACCTGCATTGAAGATAGCCAGACTTGCCAACTGGTGAGCAACTTCATTCCCCGTCCGTCGAAAATGTGAAAACTTGAAAGACCGAAACCAGGAAAGGACTTGTCGAATTTCCGTAATAATTGGACCAAACCCAGCCAACTCAGTCAGAACCCAAAAAAGCATTGATCACCATCAAGAGTCTCTTTTTATTTGTTCTTTATTGGCATAAATTAGAACATCAATCATTAATAGATGAACAAGAAATTCAGTTACATATATGAAGATCATACAGATCAGACCAATGCCAAACACATATCTAGATACAAGAGGTTGAGACCTAAAGCCCAAGTGAACAGAACACTTCTACAAAAGTTGCAAGTCCAGAGCCAAAACAGCAGAAAGCTACTTTCCATAGACAAGCATGGCAGCTCCCTAACATGCCCAGAAATGGCCAACTGACATCAAAGGGACTCCAAAAGTACTAGAAGAAACAAGACAGAGTAGACAAACAAAGCTGGCCAGCCCAATAAACAGTCATGCCAAAAGATTCCTTTTATCTATCATGATTCACGCAAGCATGATAAGATTATCCATATGAAGATATCTGAGAGTTTGTTGCGAATTTAGCCAGCCTATCAGCTCCAAGAAGGTACCCATTTGCCAACCAGAGATATTTCACAACAGTGAGGGCTCCGAGCTAAATAGAAAAAGTCAAAAATTAAGGGAGCTGCCACTGCCTGGTGACCATTAAGGCCTCTCAGGTGTTCAACAAGAGATTTGGAGTTAGTAAATAAACAACAGTAAAAAAATAGTAATAAAGAAAAGGAAGAACAAGAAGAGCAAGGAGAAGAGGGCTGCTGCAGTGAGGCCGGAATTGGGGTTTATGAATAAAATTATATTCACAAATGGGAGAAAAGAGATGATTGATCTGCTGAAGAATTTGAAAGGTAGTGGAAGAAGAGTTCTCAAATGTTACTTTATTCCAAAATTTCTAGACGATCTAAACAGTGGAAATAAAATCATAACCTCATGATGATGTTCCTTGGACAGAGCACCTCTACCAAACCAGGATCCAGCCAAAATCATAACATATTAATTAATTGAACAACAGTATGTTAATAGCGTTGTATATATCAAAATAGCAGAAATTTAAAAATTGTACATCAGTTAGACACGCACAAAATACATAATGACAGACGTACAGTTCAAGGGTTATGCTATGAAAATCCTGCTCGACAAGACTTGTATGAACGACAACAAATGGCTTTTTACCACTGATAGCTAGGGTATATCTGTTAAGTACAGCAGTTTGACACACATAAAGGTCAAAAGTTGCTACTTGTATTACCAAATAGCAATTGAAAGCCTGCCTTAATCTCAAATAGGATGCAAGAAATGGTTATGCAAAGTTATGTACTTCAAACCAAAACAAACTTTACAATCCACCCACCTCCGTTTCCCAATTTGGGATGCTGACGCCAAGAAAACATTATAGTGAAACTGATACCAGTTGTTACATAACAGCAAAAGCAGGCTAAGGAAGGTGCTTAAGAGAGAATACCAATATTATGGAGAAATGTGTGTCAGAGAAGAAGAACTAAGAGGTACAAGCAGTAAAAACTGTGGTCAAGTAAGCAAAAGGATTGAAGAAAATTCACTTAAAACATTGAAATTATGTTGGTTGTAGATGCTACAATTACAGACATGCATTTCAATTTATATTATATCATATAAGCCAAAAATCAGAAGTTTTAATGAAGCTAACAATGCCAATCTAAGCGTACCAGTCACTAGCAGCTCTAGTCAACAGAGATCAAAAATACATTAGGCCTATTGTTTGCCAATGTCTTTGGATCAGAAGTCTCTATGTGGGTACCATGGGCATTTCAGGTTTATCAGCCAAGGCTCATCTTGAAGTGAGGTACATGGAAAAATGACTCGACAACATTCACCTCAACCTTCACATGTACCCCATGCTATTAACATATGATCCATGATGAATGATCAAACCTTTGTTTTATTTGTTTGTTTTATCTTCTATTTTTCTTTCTTTTTTTGTTAGTGCATCTTTTACAGTTCAATATGGTTAAAAAAACTCGAGAACAAGGTTCTAAAAAGCGGTTGCGGTCGTTCAGGTTTATCAGCCAAGGCTCATCTTGAAGTGAGGTACATGGAAAAATGACTCGACAACATTCACCTCAACCTTCACATGTACCCCATGCTATTAACATATGATCCATGATGAATGATCAAACCTTTGTTTTATTTGTTTGTTTTATCTTCTATTTTTCTTTATTTTTTTGTTAGTGCATCTTTTACAGTTCAATACGGTTAAAAAAACTCAAGAGAATCAATAAACTTTTTACCTGTCAAACTTATACCAGCTAAAATGTCTTGCCAACACCTATTGCCTTCAAAAACCATAACTTGTTTAATATGCAAAACCACATGCAAACTTAAAGATGTACTAAACTTCAATACTAGCCAGTGTAGGAACTTGATATTTTCAGTCTCCAACACCCATCCACTCACACCCAAACCTTAGGGAAAATTCAAACCAGACAGACCTGCATCAATATCTGGGTGGAAAGCCTACAATAACAGATGTACATGAATAAATCAAGATAATTAACCAAGATCCCTTTTCCTTCAATAGAAATACATGGATAGTGTGAATGCTCGTGCCACGTGTGTGCAACCATGTGAGACTGAGACTTACTAATCTTATAGAATTCAAAGATCAGTGGAAATTCAGAAACAATAAACCCATCTATAGACTAGAGAACCAATTCAACAAACTCAACCATGGATACAAAGAATCTACAATTATCAAAGAAAACCTCATATTGATTGTTGTTGAATGAATCAAGCTCTTTAACACTGACCACATTGCAACTATCAATTAACTAAAACATCTTTCCAGTTTTATTACCAAAAATAAAAGCTTTTCCAAGCTCCTTAAACCCTAGAATTTCTCTCAGAATCACCGTATTCTAAATAAACAAAACAAAATTGAAAAGAAAAAAAAAAAAACCCAACTTTTTAATTAAAACAACAATAAAGAAGAAGAAAGAATCACCTGTTGGTCAAGAGGAGGTTGAAGTGATCGATATCGAGATTGCGAAATACAACCCTAGTTCTTCGATTCTTCTGCAAAATTTTATTTAAAAAAAATGTAAACAACAAGGCATCTGTGCATACAGAAACCCTAGCTCTTCGATTCTTCTGCAAATTTGGGCAAAAAAAGTCGAAAAAAACAAGGCATCCGCAACCCTAGATCTTCGATTCTTCTGCAAAATTTCATAAAAAAAATGTAAACAAGAAGACATCTGTGCATACAAAAACCCTAGCTCTTCTGCAAATTTGGACCAAAAATGTCGAAAAAAATTTGGACCATTTCTCGATTTGTGCGTGTCATCCTTGCGCAGGGGCCATGCTAATCTTCTCTGTATCGTTCCAATTTTATCGGATGTCCCCGAAGGGACACTATGTTTTCTTTCACTCGTTCTTATAAACCCCAACTATACAACGTTAAAGTTTCGATGTGGGACTAAATCAATCAGTCTGACAACTGACACGACGCCGTTTTGAAGCTAAACTCAGAACTATATATATGTTCTGTGCTCGCTCTTCGTGAACTCCAACATAGACCCATCTCAGGCTCCATCGAATCGTAACCATCACATGTATGTAAATACTCTCTCTCTCTCTCTCTTCCTGAGATTAGAGACGATCTTCTTGGTAATTGCTGATTCTGTTATTGGGTTTTTGATTTTGTATGTATTGGTTTAATTTTGTGTGATTGTGATGTTGAAAATAGGAGGCATTCAGTGAATCGTCCACCGACACCAGACGCCAGGGATGATCGAGAAAAAGAGCCTTCGCTTCAAGAAATCATCAACATCAAGGTCAATTTGTTGCTTTTCTCTTCTCTTAAAAGTCTTTGATTTTGAGATCTCCGTAAGTTTGTTGCCTAGGAATTGTGGGATTATTGAATTACCCAATTTCTGATTGTTTCTTGAGCTGAAATCGAAGTCAATTCTTTGAAGAAAAAAAAGAATCCACGTAGTTTGATGCTCTTTTTGAGTGAGTGAAATCACCATTCCAACTGTTGTTTTGCTTGTTTTTCTCTCTTTAAATTTATTGTTGGTCTGTAGGGGAACTTTAAAAGGGATTGAATTGACATTAAAAAGATTAAAGATTGGATTTTTATGTGATTGCCATGTGAGGATACTGAATGAGTTGTGTTTTGGAGTCATGTTAATGCATTGTGAGTTTTTGGCTGTTTAATGAATTGGTCAGTTGGTTGCCTCAACAGTTGATTGAGAGTGGGGAAAAAGAACGGCTGATGGAGCTTTTGAGGGAAAGGCTCATAGATTGTGGGTGGAAGGACGAAATGAAAGCCCTTTGCAGGTTTTTTGCACTTCTTTTTTTATACGCAGATTTTCGTAGTTTCAATGTGTGCATTTGTATGTTTGTGTTTTCCCATATATTTTCCAACTTTTTTATGATATGTTGGATTTTCTTCTTCTTTCGCGACCTTGTTTATTGGCTGACAGAGAGTTGTATTGTAAATCTTCTGTGCAACAAATTTGGCTACTGGCATATGTTTCCAGTTGAACAAGGGCATGGTGCTTCTCTTCTTTCACTTTGGACACATTTATTTGCTCATTTACCTTTTGTGGTATATATAGTAGATTGGTAATAATTTCCACCATAGACTCTGATTTTCACTAATCTCTAACTGTGGTGGGTCACTCATCATCAGTTTGTTAGTCATAAGATGTGATGGGTTGTCTGATTAATTATTATTATTATTGTTCTTGGAATCCCTCATGATTTTCCCGGACACAGATCTGGAATTTATTTGCATATGTGCTTCTTTCTGATTATATGACCATTTATCCCTACAATTTTGTCCTTGCTGTACTTCAAATGAGTAACAATAACAAAGATTGACTTGTTTGAGTTAATTTGTTTGGCTTATTGTAACTTGGTTCGAGGTTTTTGTGCATGCAAACTTGTGCATTTGGTGTCTTTCATATCATTTAAAAATCAGTCTCAAACTCTTTGTTGTCCTAGGGCTTTTGTGAAAAAGAAAGGTAGGAACAATGTTACTGTGGATGATCTTGTGCATGTAATTACCCCCAAAGGCAGAGGTAAGGGTTTCTTTCTTTCTTTGTTTTTCTTATCTGCACTTAATTCTCTTAGTTCGAACCCTCAGTAATATAGTTGCATGTCTGACTCCAAATCAATCATGGGTAGGAGGGCTAACTTTTTTTATTGTTGATAATTGAGTAGTATGAGGAAACAACTTATACCTGCCGAGTTTTAGAAATAGGGTTCCATATATTTGATATAACTTTTAAAAACAAGAAAGAAGCTGAGGTTGAGGTTCATTGTGTTTTAAGCACAGAACATACACTTGAGAAGAGGGGTTGTGATTCTTCTCTATAAGAAGCATCCCTCGGTGTTATTTTTGTCTGAACTATTGTCCCAACCAATCACCTTGGAGGCACTTTGGAGTAATTTCACTTAGAGATGGGAAAGATTGGCTAGGATGAGAGAGAGAGAGAGAGAGAGAGAGAGGAGTATGCATTCCAATCTTTGAGGAGATGAGAAAATTCAAAGATTATAGAATTTCTACAAAATATAAATTTTAATCAAGATGTTCTTGGGATTGGAAGTGCATGGCTGGAATGAAGGATTGGTGGAATGAAGGATCAGTAAATGAACAGGCACAATCATGACAACAGTATGCCCTCTACTAGTGAAATTCTGAAAAGCAGGAAATTTGCATATAGGATTCGTTTTTTCTTTTTGTATTATTATTTTGCTGTAATATCTCAGACATCTGCCAGATTCGCCTGTGTAGTTCCATTCCACTTTGGATCGATCTTGTTGTCAAATTTGAGATAGATTTTCTCTTATGGTTTGAAAAACCTAAGTGATTCGTGATTAGATCAAGATTTAATTATTCCAATTCCCAATCAAATAAAACTCACAATCTAAATCATCAAGCACTTACGAAAGTGATTTAGATTGTTGTTTTTGGAAAACAATAAATTGCCACAAACGATTTTTACGTGGAAAAACCACAATTGAAGCACCTTCAATTGTGATAAAAAAATCACGGGCGAAACGCCACTAATCAATCCACTACTGAAGAAATAAAGATTACAAAGATAACAAACAAATTACCCAAACGCTTCCAATTTATCTTCAAATCTTCTGTATATCTTTTACCGCAACCTTCGTCTCGGAATTGATTAGATTGAAGTTGAATCCACAACTTCTATTGTCGAATCAACGACCACGCACAGTATCAAACTCTTTCGACACTCCACGCTTGAATCTCTGGATTCCACCGAAGAAGAACATTCTTGAATATGAACAATCAACCTCCTTGATGTGTGCTTATCAAAACATGAGTTTAATACTCAATCAAGGCATCAAGAAAAACTAGTGAAAAACCCCAAAAGAAAACCCTAAACACCTTGAAGAATATCTCAAAAACGTAATCCTAGATTTGGACTTAAACAAATACTTATAGAAAACAGGGGCAGCGAAGCTCTCTCGAGCGAAGACTCTCTCGCTCGAGCGAGGAACCAAATACACGTGTTTTCCTTAAGTGGCTTTGCTCGAGCCACGCTACCTGTGCTCGAGTGCACAATCTTCCTTCACAGGTTTTTGGCAGACAGAAGCAGCTTTCGCTCGAGCGAGCAAGACAACAAACTTAGGAAATTTACAACTCGATAAAGCATGTTTGTTCACGGGATTGACAAGACTAAAGGACCTAACATGGTTTAATAATGAATTACATTGAACAGGTAATCCCAATGATTTAGTTTTATGTGCCCCTGTAATGGTCAAGAAATGATAATCTGGTTTTATGGTTCCGTAGGTAGTAGATGAATGAGTTTAGTCATCTTTTTGGTGGATGGACTCTAGTTTTAATTTTCTCACTTCCATTTCATTATGTTTCTGGCATTCCAATTGTCTTACTAGTTTATGAGCTGCTATTTTTTCTTTACATGCAGCTTCAGTTCCTGATTCCATAAAGGCCGAGCTGTTACAAAGAATTCGAACCTTTCTGGTTTCAGCTGCTCATTGATATATAAGCTCTGTATTGCCCATCCAGTTAGAGTTTTAGGAAATCAGAATCCTTATATTGAATGAAATCCAGTGGAAGGTTTGTCTGGCATGCTTTTTGATTAATTTGGGTATCCGCTCAAATTGCACCATCTGACCAAGGAAATGAAATGTTGCATGCCACAAGTTTAAGAAAGTTCAGCTTTCTGTAACAGCTACTTAATAGTCTGAAGAACAATTTGTGCTTGTAAAATAATCACTCTCATGTGTCAATATGTTATCCATATGAATCTACTATCTGATTACTGGGCTCTTTCAATTCTGTTGACATTTTTCAGTTTATTTCTTTGATTGCTATTGTTGTTTGGATTGTTTATTTCGGCATTTATGGTATTTAACTCAGGCATGCTTGGTATAGAAAGAAGCCTTAGAAAAGTGAATGATTTGAATTCCTGAATGATATACATGCCCAATGCTCAATTGAGCCTATGGGTACAAAAGTGGCCTTATGTTTGGGATTTGCAGTCCTCGTCTATTATCACCTTCTGTCAAATGATAAAATTGTAACACAATAGAAAGAATTCTAGGACAGTTTTATACACACAAAAGCTGCATATCTGTGTTTGCTTTGGGCCTAAGCTGTTAAGATGGTGGTGGTGGTTAATTTGTAGTGTATAGACAGTTCTCTCTCTCTCTCTCTCTGTGTTGCATTGATATCACACCATGCAATTTCTTCATGAGGAGTGTCAATGACTAACAGATGTATTTATCTGAATTTCAAAGCTGACTTTTTTTCTGAAGACATTGGCTACCTTCTATCTGTAAATATCACCTCTAAGATTGCTTATTCGAAATTGGATTTTACACATATTCTGATGAAATTTGTATCCTTGAATGAAATTTGCTTTAGGAATAATATACATAACATGTTCCCTGCAATTGCTTTGAATTGGACTATACAAGAGTACAAACACCATCAAGAACGAAAGACCACCAAAAGTACCCATCACTGTTTAGAATTCTATCATATCAAATTAGTTTCAACTTATTTATGCCCTAGGTTTTTTTTTTTTTTTTCCTGAAATGAAAGTAGTGAAATTCTGTAAAAGGATAACCCAACGGTCATCCAATAATGAACTTATTATTGTTCTCAAAATCTCAAAAACTTAGTCATGATAGGGGTGGTTAGGTTAGGGTAAGCTTGTTGGAACTCCAGTGATGGCTTGAAAATATATCTGAAGAGCTCTTCACCATTGTTCGGCCCACTAGGTTGGGGTTCTCGTTGCATATCTTTGTGGCATAAGAACTGTATGAGACCAACCAGTGCCATAACCGCAAAGAGAGGCCCAACAAATGCAAGAATGTCAATGAACTTGGAACCATACTTAAAAAATAATAATATGACCAAAACGAAAATTATGCAGAGTAGATATCTCCAAAGATTTTCTTGTATTTTCTGTGTGTAAGATGAGTTAATTTGAACCCACTAAATTAATTAGGTCCAATAGTCCAAGGTTGGTGGGTCCAAATTTATCGCAAGTCCAAGATTGGTGGATCCGGATTTATTGCCATCAAACGGGCCGAATCGCTCCAAGCCTTGAAAGGGTTCGGATCCACGAACTTAGAGACTTACTCGGGTACGGACTTGAAAGGGTATTGAGCAAGCCTAGAGATCCGAGGCACTCAGGCTTCGAATAGATTCGATCGTAATCTAGAAGCCACTCCATTGGTGAGTCCCAAAACACTTGTGGGCTCGGAGCTTTCCGGGATCTACGCACCAGAACCATGGGCGTAATGGAGTTCGAACAAAGGACCCGATCCCGAGGATGGTGAGTGGAGACAACTTCACTCTTCGGTTAAACTAGCCTATACCCGAGTCGAGGTGGCACGATCCCGGGGGATCCATAAGACTCTGCAATATTTAACGGCATGGGGTCTTCTAGGACTACCTCGGCCCTTTAGGATGATTGGGGATCATTGGTTAAGTGTGGCTAAGAAGAAGGGTTCGCCGAGAGGTTGCTCTCCTTTTCGAGAGTTTTTCTTATCTTCGAAGAGGTCACCTCCTCGGACAAGGTGATTAGAGAGAATAACATGGACTCCATCCTATATCACGAGGTGCTTATAAATAGCACTCACCCATAGCTTTACAAGGGATAGATTTTGGAGAGATAACTTTTGGGAAAGAACTAATTTCCCTTTTCCATTATCAACCTTGAGAATGAAAGTGGGAGATCCACGGGAAAGCCTTGCCATTATTCTCTCTCTAACTGCTTTGTTTTCTTCTTTACCCAATCTCTTATCTTCATCATTTTCTTTCTTTTTTGTTCTTAGTTGAGACTATTGAAGAATCTAAGCCTTTCATCATATCTAAAAAATTCGAATTTTCTCTTCAAAGATCTTCGAATTTTTCAATGACGTTCTTGAACCCTCTTATACATTTGGCAACTCCACTGGGGACACGGATTGGTTAATGGTCTCAACAAGATCTGGAACCCACACAACTCCAACAAGGATAGCGAGAGAAGATGAAGTTCATCAACAAGGATCCTCTAGTGGTGGTGATGACAGGACCATGGCTCCAGATCAACCACTTTTACTCGAAGCAATTCAAGGACTTCAAAATACTCAGCAGGAGATTCTTACCACTCTTCAGAATTTCACTCACATGATGTTGGTGATGAGTTCTAATTTTGCACCAGCACCAAACGGAGATCAAACTGGCAGTGGAGTTATCCCCGTTGGAGTGCAAAATCATATCCAATGAGAAGTAAGCCCCAGTCAGCCTGTGGCTCATGGCAACATAACCACAGTAACACATGCTCAAACCACAGTAGGCGGCAGTAGTTTGCCCACGCCCGAGATCCATGGTGTGCCAAACCAAGATCCAATGGTGACTAGGGGAGGTTCTGGTGTAATGAAGGGCACTCCGGCGACTGTTGGTGTCCAGGAAAATATAAGGGGCGTGATGGCGCAAAAGGGAGCTCTGGCCGTACCTAATCTTGTTACACCACCAGTAAATGTTACTCAAGTATCAAGCGAGCCTCCTTTGGTGCCGACAACAAATTTGCAAGCCCAACCCGGTATAGTTGCACTGTGTGGTGGACTTTACGGGCCTCAATTCAATGTCCCATCACCAACTGGCTTGTCTATAGGCGTTGATGGTCAGTATCATCAAGTGTCTTCACCAATGATGAATTCTCAACACCAGAATGACCAAGTCACTCCTAGCTCAGTTTTCAGGTCCATAAGCCAAGTTCCGGGAATGTCGCCACCAAACTCTCTCCCTTAACAGTTTCTTACTCTTACCGATGTGCAAGCCATGTTCGATCTCAAACAAGGCAAGAGGATTTTACCATCTTTGCCCAATCCGGATGTTAAGCCACCCTTACCCTATTGAGATGTTGAGTTATCCATACCCGAAGGGGTACACGGTGCCGAAGTTCATCAAATTCGATGGCAAGCAAGGAAATGCTCGAGAACATGTTATGCAGTTCATCGAGACTCTGGGTATTCATGGTTCAAACCACGACCTCCGGCTGAGAGAATTTTCTAAGTCTCTCACTGACCAAGCATATAGTTGGTATGTTAATTTGGCCCCAAACTCTGTCCGAAGTTGGGAGGAAATGGTTAACAAATTTCACTCCAAGTTCTTTCAAGTGGCGGAGGAGGTGACTACACTTACATACAGTCTGCTCGAGCGAAGAAATGCACGCTCGAGCGAGGACTTGTGTCTCACGCTCGAGCGAGGGTCGAGCGCGAATTTCATGCATCCAGTACTTTTGCAGTCCGCTCGAGCGAGGAAAGTCACGCTCGAGTGGAGCTCTTTTGTCTTCATGTCCGCTCGAGCGTAGAAAGCCACGCTCGAGCGAGACCCCTGTTTTCTAAAAATTTTGAAAAG